GTGTGTGTGTGTGTGAGAGTGTGTGTGTGTGTGTGTGAGTGTGTGTGTGTGTGTGTGTGTGTGAGTGTCTGAGTCTGTGTGCGTGTGTGAGTGTCTGAGTGTGAGTGTGTGTTATTCATTCAAATCTCCCATCATCCTCCGGCTGATGGCCTCGTTCTTCCGCTGCCGGCTGCCATTGTTGTGTTTTTGTGAAGGAATACATGATGAAAAGGAGTTTGTGTGTATCTGCGGCACGAGACACGCGGTCGCTCACCGTCTGAAGTGTGTGTGTGTGTTCACTTTGACGAGTAAAAACGTTCACTTCTGCTCACAAACTAACACAAAACACTGTAAACACTCACAGATGAACAACTGAAAGAAATGACTCATGTTCACAAGTTTGATTCATTCAGTGAATCGCTTCGACCGTCTGTTTCAATGAATTCAAAACTTGGATTCAAATGTCTGATCTTTCCATGTATTAAAATGTTTAATATGAATATCAGTAGGGAAATATTGGTGATTGTGACCATGTATTGTTATATAGGTGCATATAAATGAATATATAGACGAATGGATTATATAATTTAATAGAAAATATAAATGAAAAGATTCTTCCTTGTCTCATGACAAAAATTATGGTGTTCAGATAGAGATGATTCAATGGAGTCACTCAATTCAACATCAGCAGAAAAAGAGTCGGTAAGTTTGATTCATTTCAGTGAATCACTTCAAACTGTCTGTTTCACTGAACTGATTCAAAACTCTGATTCAAATTATTCAAAACCTGTTGTGTCATCAGTGTTCATGAGCCAGTGTCTGTGTGTGTTATATAGGTGCATATGAATGAAAATTAAATACGATTCTTCCTCATCTTATGACGAGTATGAGGCTTATTTAACAGAATCTCTCATTTAAACTTCAGTAGAGTTGGTAAGTTTGATCAGTTTAAATGAATCAATATTTCAACGAATCGATTCAAAACTTTTAATGATTGTTTGTCATTAGTGTGCATGTGTTTTTTCATGTATTATTAAGTTCAGTATAAATATCTGTAGGTAAATGTCACTGTTTATGACTATTATACTGATGCATCTAAATGAAAACTATTAAATTTTTCATTTAAAAAAAAAAATTTTCTTAATCATCTCATGATGAATATGAGAGAGTTCAGACAGAGATGATTCAATAGAGTTGGCAAGTTTGATTCCTTTCAGTGAATCACTTCAAACTGTCCATTTCAATGAATCAATTCAAAAACTCTCAATAATTGTTTGCACTGCTTGTGTTAAAATGATTAGTATAAATATCTATAGGTAAATATTCGGATTGCTGACTATATATGATGACTATGTTTTGTTATATTAAGTGCATATGAATGAAAATGATGACATATGATTGTTCATTCAGTGATGATCTGTAGTTACTGTAGATAAAAATGCTGAATCCTCATAACGGCCGAAAAGAGCCCAAGTAAATGAAGTCCTGACGGCACTGGGCTGACCTGAGCCGGATCCACGTCGTTCAGCATCACGATAGACGTGCAGTGATAGTCCAGAACCAGCCGCCAGAAGTCCTTGACTGTGTTTGGCAAAGGATGCTGGGTAACGATGAACGCAGACGGCTGCTTGTAGCTCTGAAAGAAAGAGACGAAGAGCGTGAGATAGTCATCATCACTTCCAATTATATCAAGGGTACTTATGATGAAGCATATGTTTGTTGTGCTGCATTTAGTTATGCAATCAATTTTAAATAATAATAATAAAAAAGGAATCTCTATATTACACTAATGAGAATCAAAAGAGATTCATGCATTGAATATCACTGTTTATGACTATTATACTGATGCATCTAAATGAAAACTATAACATTTTTAATTTTTTCTTACTTATCACATGATGAATATGAGAGAGTTCAGACAGAGATGATTCAATAGAGTTGGCAAGTTTGATTCCTTTCAGTGAATCACTTCAAACTGTCCATTTCAATGAATCAATTCAAAAACTCTCAATAATTGTTTGCACTGCATGTTTTAAAATGATATTATATATATATAGTATAAATATCTATAGGCAAATATTGCTTGATGACTGCTGATTGCTGACTATACATGATGACTTTGTTTTGTTATATTAAGTGCATATAAATGAAAATGCATTTGCATTAAAAATATATATATAATTTAAATTTCAAAATGTTTACACATCATTATGTTATTTCTACTTTTTATATTATTTATTTTTCTCTTTAAATGGTTTTTCTTTTTGTATTTTTTTCTTTTTTCTTTTTGAATTTTGTTATGTTTGGTACAAAGAGGAGAGACTTAGTCACTAATTAATTAACATTAATCAGCTGTCTTCGATGATTGCTTACTAATTGTTTAAGAAGACTTGTTTGAACAATTGACGTGTAGCCGAAACGCGTAGATCTACACTTCTAACTTTTTAAATGATTTAGCCAGGCTTTTTACCTTTATACAAGTGCCTCAGAGTATTTCATCTTTGATGTTGCCACATCATGTTAGTATTTCAATAATAATAAAGAAATCACTATATTACAGTATCATAAGTGAATTGTGCATTTGCATTGAAGGAATGAGAATCTGGGGTTCAATGGAAATGTAATTTTTCTTACAGTCCAGTTTTTAAAATCATAACAATCCCTTTTGATTTTGAGGTGAGCGATGCTAATAATGTCGTACGTCCATGAGCGCGGCGTTGATGTAGTTGCTGCTCTCTCCGTCGATGGTGATGAGGAAGGGCAGGCAGCGGTCCGGAGGAAGAACATCCATGCAGCGGTTCTTCTCGTGATTGCGCGGCAGAAGAGCGATGCTACAGTCCTCCACACGCAGCGTCGGAGTCACCATGTTCAGCGTCTGACAACACACCGCAGTCATCTTCACTAGACATCACACAATCCCCACCATGACACACTAGCATTATTAAAGCAATACGCCCGTGAAGCCGTGGTTTACAGTGAATTTATAACAGCTAACACGAAGCGAAGTGCCTAAAACCCCCTTAGCTGTTATAAATTCACTGTAAACCACGGCTTCACGGGGATTATTGCTTTTATAAAACGGTTATTCCATATACGTAGTAAAGTTTCACAAAATAAAACAGAGCAAATAAAGTGTAATGATATTAATAAAAACAGTATTCTTCCACCAAACAATGTAGCTCCTCAGAAACAGTTGTGGTTACAACAAAGTGGTTGCCGAGCAACACACAAACGTAAACAAAGGTGTATGTTACTTTGTAGAGTAATTTACAACAGCTTCGAACGCGGCTCAGCCAATCAGAATCAAGCACCGGAACTCTCCGCTTTATAATTACATATTAGCACTGAAGAATACATTATGAACCTAAAAATTTCAGCTGATTTAATAAACATAGACAGCATTCGCGCTAAAACTTGACATTTTATAAGTGACATTAAAACATCGCAAAAAATGGTAACACTTTACAATAACAAACAATGAACAATACATTTATTACAGTGTTTATTAATCTTTGTTAATGTTAGTTAATGAAAATTCATTGTTAGTTCACTGTGCATTAACTAATGTTAACAAGCACAACGTTTGATTTTAATAATGCATTAGTAAATGTTGAAATTGACACCTGCATAAGATTAATAAATGCTGTAGAAGTGTTGTTCATGCTTAGTTCACGTTAACTAAAGTAGTTAACTCACGTTAACTAATGAACCTTATTGTAAATGATGTTCTTCCTCAGTATTTTTGTCTTGTTTTCCAGTACAAGTATCTAAACATTCATAAATCAAGATTTAAGTTTAGTTGCAAGATGCAAAATGACCTCAGATATGAATCTAAACTAAATTTTTGTTCATGAGGTTAGAAAAATAACCCTTTTAATTATCTTGTAATTTTTCGTATACCATTCACAGATATTTGTTCTCTTTTTAAGCATAAACTCACTACATTTTGATGATTTTTCCCCCCAAAAAACAAGTAAATTTGCTTCTTGAATAAATATATAGACATTTGGCGGTAACAATTTACCTGAAACCTTTACATATAATGCATTATAAAGGTGTTTTTAATGCATTAGTTATTATTAATTAATATATTATAATGCATTTTAACTTTGGTTACAGTTATGTATGAAAAGATATGAATACCTTCATAATGCATTATGCATAAAGACATATTTGTAATTTGTAAATACTGAGTAAAATAATTTTCGTAATCATTTTTGTGTTGTGTCTCAACATTTTTACTCAACATCGGACAAATAATTTTTAATAAGTGCAAATATTCCATGTGTGTTTGTTTACAGTAGCTTTGATCTTTCTATAAATGTGTACAGTAGAAGAGATGATGAACCGTTTAGTGTAGAAACCTGATATTTTCTGTTTCCAATACTGGCCAAATCAAATCAGTGCTGATAATGCATTTAAAACGGCCTGATACTGAAATACTGTGCGCTGATATTCAATACAGATGCTCATATTTGACCATTTCTTCACCACAGCACTTTGTAAAATCAAATCAAAGCAGCAACACAGAAAGCGTTTCATATCTTCAGCTCTGAAACTCATGCAAGCGGACTGATTGTCTCTCACCCTGAACTCCTCTTTGATTGGACTGGAGTTGGTCTGAGGATCCAATCGGTTCATGTCGTAGTAAACGGAGCGAAGCTGATTGGCTGGGATGGTGGTGTCGCCACAGAGACACGCCTCCAAGATGGCATCATGGATAAAGACATACTGCTCCTGACAAACACAAGAAACAAGATCCAGTACGACTGAAGACTATCACATCTATAATCATGACAGAACCATACAGTTAAATGGTGTTGTTTTTTCAAAGAAATTAAAACTTTTATTGATCAAGGACACATACAATTGATCAAAAGTGACAGTAAAGACATTTATAATGTTGCAAAATATTTCTATTGCAAATAAATGCTGTTCTTTTGAACTTTCTATTCATCTGTGAATCCTGAAAAATAAAACCGTTTCCACAAAAATAGTGGGCAGCACAACTGTTTTCAACAAATGTTAAAGGGGTCAAATGATGTTGCTAAAAAGAACATTATTTTGTGTATTTGGTGTAATGAAATGTGTTTATGTGGTTTAAAGGGATAGTTCACCCAAAAATTCAAATGTGATGTTTATCTGCTTACCCCCATGGCATCCAAGATGTAGGTGACTTTGTTTCTTCAGTAGAACACATATGATGATTTTTAACTTTAACCGTTGCAGTCTATCAGTCGTATAATACATGGCAATGGTAACAAAATCTATGAGAGTAAAAAAAACATGCACAGACAAATCCAAATTAAACCCTGCAGCTTGTGAAGACACATTGATGTCCTAAGACACGAAACGATCAGTTTGTGCCAGAAACCGAACAGTATTCATATAATTTTTTACCTCTAATACACCACTATGTCCAACTATCTTTGGGCGCGCGCACGGCATCCGGTGCGTGAGGTGTGTACGCACTCTGGCGTAGTTTACGCAAGCGCCGGAAGTGATCTCTCGCGCATATACGTCACTCATTG